GACGTTCATATTTGTCAAAAATTCTAGCTCTTGTAAATTTGTATGAAAGCAATTTAAAAAGTTATTAATCATACTTACAAAAGGGAATTAAAAAATTTCTCTGCTTAATTTACATATTTAAAACCATAGCATATAAACATTTTTTATCATGCACTTCTATCAGTGAAACATTTTTATTCATGCACCGTATTTATTTACTTATCATTTACATACACATCCTACTGTACTAATACATCATGTCCCATATTTGTATATATGTACATGTGTATATATGTGCATATGGAAGTTATAAGCAATGTTATTGGCTTTATTGCATTGTCAGTGGACCCTTCCTTGAGTGAAGCCAAATATCTTGAAGGCAAATGTTTTAGTTTACAAGGTGAACAATGTGAACAATAGTGTGTTTATAATTTTTCACCTCTAATATGATCTGTCGTGCTTGAAAAGTTATATTATCAACCTAAACCTTTTGGTTTACCTTCTATTAGCAGTAGAGGTCATTTAATGAAGCCGCTTTGCATAACTCACCACCAGATGGCATTCTCGTGTCTCTGATCATGCCCACTTACTTCTGAACTAAGAACTACTTTATTAAGTAAAGTTCTTGTTAACAAAAATTCATCTACATCATCTTTTTCATCATAAGAAAGAGGCAGCAAATATATTACCTTGCTTAAAGAGACTTGAATTCTAGTTCTGATTTCATTACCTATTAATACTTTGGGCAAATTCTTTTACTTCCTCAATACATTTGTATTGTCATATATAAATAAAGAATATTGGACTAGATGGTTTAGTTCAAACATGTTTTATCAAATAGCTGTTCTGTCTATGTTACTGTGCTAAATGTAGCAGTAAATTGTCAATACTTTTAACTAGTTGCAGTTAGGAAATAATATTCAGTAGTGCTCTTTACCTGATTTCTGTTTAAATTGCCAGATTCACTGTTGTTTTCCATTTTCACGGAAAACACACTAAAAATAAGTGGTGCACAGATTATAAAGGAAACAATATGGCATACCACGAAATTTATATGAAATACACCACTTAAAGCTATCAAAGTTCTGGCTGTTAATTGTTGTTTGATTGTTGGCTGGTTTGTGTTAATGACACAGAAAATTACATGATCAAATTTGTTTTATAAAGATAAATTTTGAATTTTATTTTACTAAATTGATGAAAAATTGTAAGAATTTTACAAAAACTCTTTCAAAATACAGAAAAGAAAATATTTTTGTCTCATTTTATAAGACCAGAATTACATTGATATCCAAACCAGAGAAAAGTATTACAAGAAAGGAAAACTAACTTTAAATGCAAATGTATTAACAGAATATTAGCAATCATATTTATAAATATAAAGGACCACACATCATGATCAACTGAGCTTTATCTCAGGAATGAAAAGTTTATGTAATGTTCGAAGATCAATTCAAATCACTATACTAGACTACAAAACAAAAAAAATTTTATCATCTCGGTATATACAGACAAAATACTCAGCAAATAGCATATGAACTTTTAAATGAGCATGTTGAGATAGCAATGCTCATGTCCTTCAGCTGACTTATGTCAAAGCCACTGTAAAGGCTGCTATGTGCCGTCACAAGAGCACTGTGTTTGGTAGATTTCGCATGCCGAGAAAGCCCTGAACTCCATAAACTGTGTTCCACTGTTTCCTCTGCTACGCACCACCTGTCTCTTCACTACTTCTTTCATGTTCTGTGATGACAGAGATGTGTGCTGCTTGCACTTCTAGGTAATCTAATTCCAAGACATCAGGAGCTGTTCTATAAAAATCCTGTGTTTGCTGGAGTAAGATTGCCTGAAATCAAGGAAACAGAACCTCTTGAAAGACGCTATCCTAAGCTTCCTGATGTGGTGATAGATTTAGCAAAGGTAATCATAGTTTTTCTTCACACTTTCTGACAGGAATTTATGCATTGTGGAGACTTGGTTTTCTCTTTTTTCTTGTCTAGTTGATCTTTTAGGTCAACAGTTTCTTCTAATGATATTGATTTTTGTACATTTAGAAAGAATTTAAATAATTTGGTGGGGATAACTTCAGAGATAAAGGCTTGAAAATTTTACCTGTTTTAAAACTCATTAAAAAACCATTTAGTATTATCCAGCACGTTTTAAGTATGAAAACATCATCTAAAACATACAAAAACCATATAAAGGCATTGTATGTTTTTAATGTTTAACATGTAAACGCAAGCCTTGTGTAAGTGGAAAAAAGAAGAAAAGTAAGATAAGAAAATAAAAAGAAAGATGGAGAAGTAGGAAAATGTTAAAGTGTAGCTGGGGCATACAATCATGACCTCTCTAGTACTGTCGAAGGGGCTTTTGCTTAGCCTTTGCTTAGCCACTGGATTTGCTGAAGCTAATTTATAAATTACCAATACATTTGTTTTGTATTTGAGGAAAATATTAGGGAGATTCTCACTGGATCAAGTTGTCTCTGAAAGTTGACTTCTTAGAATTATTAGCTCAAAAAGTTCTCATTATCAGCTGGGTGCGGTGGTGTGTGCCTGTAGTCCCAGCTGCTTGGGAGGCTGAGGCAGGAGGATCCCTTGAAGCCAGGAGTTCAAGGCTGTAGTCCACTATACTTGGACCTATCAATAGCCACTGCCCTCCAGCCTGGGCAACATCGTGAGATCCTATCACTTGAAAAAAAAAAAGTTCTCATTAATTAGGATTGTCCAGGGTACTGATAAAATAAGTACGTCTAATACACTAGGATCATATGACATTTACCCAAGACACCCAAAAAAAAGGTGTCTTTTTTTGCTTTTTAATTCTTTAACTCATTTTTTTAAAAGTTTAGTAAACTTGGCCGGGCGCGGTGGCTCACAGTTATAATCCTAGCACTCTGGGAGGCCGAGGCGGGCAGATTGTTTGAGCTCAGGAGTTCAAGACCAGCCTGAGCAAGAGCGAGACCCCGTCTCTACTAA